TTAAATGTCCCCCAAGGGAGCCCAGGGGTTTGGTCCCCAGCCCAAGGTGCGACTGGGAGGCAGTTGGTGTCCTAAAGGAGGTTGGGCATCATCCTACCGAAGTTAGGTGGTTGGTTGGAGGTGTCCTCTCGAGGGGGACATTGGGCCCCCATCTACTTCCTGTCTTGGTCTTCATTTCCTGGCCACCATGAGCTGAGCAGGCCTCTCTGCTGGGCTCCCCCCATGAGGGAATCTGCCCCAGAGGCAACAGGGCCAACCGACCATGGCCTGGACCTCTGAAGCCAAACCTTCCTGAGTGGATTCTTTCTGTTATTTGCCACCACAGCAGACAGCTGCCTCCCACACTTGGATTTGGGGCCTCTCAGGGCACAAGTGGCAGTCAAGAGGGAGGTTCTGGCTAGAGATGGAAGCAGATGAACCTTGGGTGTGGAAAGGGTAAGCTGAGGTGCAGGAGGCATAAGAACAGTGTATTAGTACCTAGGAATCAGAGTAAGCCGGCTGAGAGAGGCCGAGGTTATGGGTGTGAATTGTGCGTTTGTTTCCTGGGGAGACAGCCGAAGACAGTTCCAATTGGAAAATGAGCTTAGTCCCATGGAGCAGGGAAATCCTGATGGAGGCTAGAGAGCAGTTTGCCTGAGGAGGCAACTAGCTCATTTCCAATGACAAAATAAAATAAAAGAGAACTTAGTAAACCACTTGTGGTTTTTACAATAATGGGTATTTTGGGCTGGGCCAGAAGGATTGTCCCAGGGTGGCCTGGGCTGCTACACAGAGAGACCCTGTCTCAAAACAAAAAACTGTTGGGAAGTAAGAGTGGCAAGCACTGGATCTTTTGAATTCCTGTGGACAGGACCATGGGCTCTTGCACTTGTCCATGGTGCGGGGTTGCAGAGCAGGGAGGTGGGGGACAGCAGCACTTGAGGATGATGCAGGGGTCACAGTAGGGGCTGCTTCCGAAGTGGCAGGGGACTGGCGGGGCATCCATGTAACAGGCTTAGGACAGTGGCTGCCAAGTGGTAGCATTCAACCTAAGTGAGCTACCACGGTCAGGGGAAGCAATGACTTCACACAGGCAGGGCGAAAAGTGCCCCTCCACTTCCGCAGGGACCAGCAAGAGCTGTCGAATGGGCAGATCAATGCGACAAGGAGTAAACTAGAAATTGGTTTCAAAATGAGTAGATTTGCAAAATGTCAGGGCCAAACAATGAGAAACATAGTTGTCCATGTACAAAAAAAGGAACAGCTGGGCGTGGTGGCGCATACCTGTGATCCCAGCACTCTGGGGAGACTGAGGCAGAAGGATTGGTAGTTGGAGCCCAGGCTGGCCAACTAAGTAACTTAGTGAGACCCTGTCTCAAAATAAAAACTAAAAAGAGACTGGGGATGTAGCCCAATCCAAAGGCCCTGGGTTCAATCCCCAGTACAGGGGTAAAAATAAAAAGTACAGGGCAGTGCCTTCCTTATCCTTTCTTTTTCCTCCAATGGTTGGCAAGAGAGAAAGCAGGGGTTTTCCTCCCCTCAAGGAGCTCCCCGCAGCCCCCCAGCTGATCTGTGTGGGCCCCACCTCTGGACTGCAGCTTCCCTCTTTCACCCTCACTTACCCTGGGAAGATTTTCCTGGGTGGCAAGAATCTCCTTTTTTTTTTACTTTCACTGCAGAAGTCAAAGGAAAGAGGTAGGTAGACCAAGGGAAGGGAGAATACCCTGCAGGGATTTCCCATAGTGTTTCATATTGTTTCTAGGAGAGCTGCTATCATTTTCTTCCCATCAAAAGTTTCCAGACCCATTCAAAGGGGTTTGGAACTTTAGAGAAAGTCCTCGGCTCTTCATTGTCTCCACCTTGAGTCCTCAGGGCCTTTCTCCTAAATTTTAGATTGAATACAATGTTCTCATAGAAACTGCATCCCCCTCTCTTTTTCTGCCTGTAATCCCAGCATGCTGGGAGGTTAAGGTAGGAGGATCCAAAGTGGGAGGCCAGCCTGGGAAATTCAGCACCTCAGTGAGACCCTTCTCAAAAATACAAAATAAGGGCCGGGGATTTAGCTCAGTGGTTCCTCCGCCTGCCTTGCAAGCGCAAGGTCCCAAGTTTGATCCCCGGTATCCAATAAATAAATAAATAAATAAATAAATAAAAAGGGTTGGGGATGTAGCTCAGTGAGAAGGTCCTAGGTTAAATCTCCAGTTCTGAGAAGAGAAAAAGATTCAAGCTAGCACTTGCTTAGCATGCACAAGGCCCTGGGTTTGACCCCTAGCACTGCAAAAACAAAACAAAATGAACAACAAAAACAAAACCCAAACCAGACTACTCAACGTTGGTCAAAAAATATTCTTTAACAGTCAATAAGAACAAAAAGACAGGAGTGAGGTTTTATTCATGGAGCCAAGAATTTCATACAGTAAAAGGATGCCTCCCCCCTTTTAAAAAGGAATGATAGCAATAGTAGATAGCAATTGGTATGCATAATCTTTTAAAAAATAATTTATTTGGCAAAATGAAGAAAATGACAATCTTTTTTTTCCTTTGTGAGGCTGGGAATTGAACCCAGGGTCTTCTCTAGGCAAGAGCTCTACCAGTGTATTATACACCCAGCCCTGGTGATTTTAAGTTGATTTTCTTGGTGTTATTTGTTTACTGGACTGTGAAAAATCAAATGACCCTATTTGAGCTCTGTTCTTGACTCCGGGACAATGTACCTGACACAACTTAAAGGAGGAGAGGTTTATTTTGGCTCACAGTTTCAGAAGGTTCAGTCCATGGTCAGTTGGCTCCAGGGTAGGAACAGCATGGCAGAGGGGCCTGGCAAAGGACAAGGTGCTCCATCCTGGCAGCCAGGAAGCAGAGAGAGCAGAGCTGGGGACAAGAGTACACCCTTCCAGGTCTCACCCCAGAGACCCACCTCCTACCAGCCACCTCCTGACCGCATACTCAGCCATGAACTCATGGATGGGTGAATCCACTAGTGGGAGACTACCCCACAGTCCAATCACCTTCCAAACACATGAGGCATCGGGGGACATTTTAGATCTACACCATAACAGACCTGGTTCATGAAACCTATTTTTGCTCCAGCTCAGTAGGCCCTCCTGCAGCTCAGAAAGCACTAAGTCAAATAATAAAAAAGTAATAGTCACTGGGAAGGCTTTTTTTGGTACCGGGGATTGAACTCAGGTCCTTCTGCTTGCGAGGCAGGCAGCGAAATCACTGAGCTAAATCCCCGGCCCCAAGGCTTTTTTTTTTGACATAGAGTCTCACTATGTAGCCCAGGCTGGTCTTGAACTCACAGTGATCCTCCTGCCTCAGTCTCTCAGAGTGCTGGGTTACAGGGGTGCACCTGGGTCTATAGCTTTCTTTTGCAACTGGATTATTTCACTTAGGATGTCTTCAGGTTTCATCCATATTGCAGCATGTGCCACAATTTCTTCCCTTTTAAAACTTTTTTTGAAGCAGGAAGATCACTATGAGTTCGAGGCCAGCCTGAATGACATAAGGGAGAACCTGTCTCCAAAAAAAAAAAAAAAGTGTTTTCAACCTCTCAGGACAGCTCTATTTGTGTTGAAGATCTTAGGCCTGGGGATTTAGCTCAGTGGCACCATGCTTGGCTCACAAGCTCAAGGTCCTGAGTTCGAGTCCTGGTACCAGAAAAAAAAATAAAAGATCTGTATGTATTGAAGATCTTAAAATAAAAGGATTGTTCTCAGAAATGCAGGTCTTGCTGGTTCTCTGTAGTCACTCACTTGTAAAATGGTTCTGAGCTCCTCACTGCCATTTAAACAGTGGAATCCTGGCCCCATGAAGGCCAGGCACATGGGTGGTGAGGCCGACTGGAGGACAGCTATGGTTCACCCAAGATACTCCCTCTGGTGAAGGTAGCTGGTACTATCAGTCCCAATACTTCATTTCCAATACGTGCTGTAGGCCCGGTTGCATGCCCCATAATGACCCTCGTGCTGGCCCTGTGCTGCCAGGCCAAACAGAACCTATTTTCGGGCTAGATCTAGGTCAGGGGCCACCAATTGGCAGTCTCTACCAGGACAAATGAAGTGCTATTTCAGCTTGGGTTCATTCGTTCATGCAACAAATGTTTCCTGGGTCTCTACAGGGTATGTTACACAATTACTTATAAATCTTTTTTTTTTTTTTTTGGTACCGGGGATCGAACTCGGGTCTTTGAGCTTGCGCAGCAGGCGTCGAAACCACTGAGCTAAATCCCCGGCCTACTTATAAATCTTATGGTTTAAAAAAGTACCTATTTGAACGGTGTGTGGTGGCGCATGCCTGGATCCCAGGCAGTCTGGGAGGCTGAGGCAGTAGGATGGCAAATTGGAGCCCAGCCTGGGCAATTTAATAACTTCGAAAGACCCTGTCTCAAGAAAGGGCTGGAGCTGCAGTTCAGTGAGAAGGCCCTGGGTTTGCTTCCCAGTACCAGGGGGAAAAGCACCTGTTTAAGTAGGTTCCGACTTCCCCATTTTACATATGAAAAGACCAGCACGGAGAGGCGATAACTCGCTTAGGGTGACACAGTTGGGACCGTCCTGGTGGGCTGTCAACTCTGAGTGCTTCCACAGCCGGAGGTCTGGTGCCAGAGGAGGAGGACGCAGGCTAGAGTCGAGGTCCTGTGCATCTGAGCACTTCCTCTCGCCCACTCTGAGCGCCTGCTTCAGCACGCGGGCCTGGAGGGCAGTGCAAGCAGAGAAGTCGCGAGAGTCAGGGACCGAACACAGAGACAGTCTGCCTTCAGGTGCGGCCTCAACTCGAGCCTACGTCGTAAAGCTATTAATTTCGGGGGTGAGAATGGCGTGGCGCGAGGGGAACATAAAGAAGCCTCAGCAGGCTCAACGAGCCACCCGCGGGCGCTTTTTCCCTGGGACCCCTCCTCCCCGCGCGTCCAAGGCTCTCGGGCACTACAACTCCCGGCATGCCGCGGGGGCGAGGGGCCCGCCCCCACCCGGCCCCGCCCCCTCAAGCCCCCGCCCCCCCAGCCCCCTCCCGGCGGGTCCAGCCCCACAGAGTCGCCCAGTGGCCGCGGCAGACGGAAGCAGAGCGCGAGTCCGGCGGCGGCGGCGGCGGCGGCGGCAGAATGGGGGACTCCAAAGTAAAAGTGGCGGTACGGGTCCGGCCCATGAACCGACGAGGTGAGAGCCCGGCCGCCGCGCCGCGCCGCGCCGCCGAGGGGGAGGCGGCAGGTGCCCGGCGCGCATCGCCCGAGCCGTGAGGGTCCGGCCCCGCCTGTGGGGTCCTTGGCGGCGGGGACCCCGGAACCCCGTGCTCGCCTCCCCGCCGACGCGGACCGCCCCCTCCCGGCCCGCGCGTCCCGGGGCGCCGCGGGCCCCCCTCCCTGGCCCGCCGCCCCTTCCGCCGGCCCGCGCCCTTCGTCCTCCACCCGCGTCCCCGGCCCGCGCCCCTCGTCCCCGCCAGCTGTCACCGCGCCCCCCGGGCCTCGCCCTGCGCGGGACCCAGGTCCTGCAGCACCCCGGGCCGGCCCTCGGCTCGCCTCTCCACTTTGTGTTAACTTTGACCTGCGTGGCCCTGAGGGACTGGGGTTGCTGGACTTGGATTGCCGTGGGGTGAAAGCGATGCCTCTTTCCTTCCAGTTTTTGGACTGTCGAGAAGTTTTTGCTTTTTCTCGAAGTCATATTCGTCATCTCTCAACAATAAATAGTTTAAGTGCCAAGATTCTTGTGAAATTGTATCGTTCAGACATTCTCTGAAGTCTGTAGGGAGGGCAGAGAAAGCAGATAAACTGAGACCTCGTAAATCATCTTTTTGCAGACCCATGGAGTGGAGCCCAAGTCCAAGTCAGAAGTTGGAGCTTGGCCTTTGATACTTCACAGCAGTGTGGCTGGGCAGGTTTCGTTAAATGAGAATAGGCTGGAAAACAGGAGGTCAGATTATTGGGATTGCTGTTACAGTCCCAGGAGATGACTTTGCAAATGAAAAGACTCGAGACTAATTCAAACCATTTTAAGTACCAGAATCATTTTCTAAAACTATTCAAAATCACCTTTGTTCGAAATCAAGTATTTCTTTCTATGTAGGAATTATAGGTGGTTTTCCTTCTACTTGTTCTTTTTTTGATATATTGAAATCTAGAGATCAACCAGTTGCTCTAGGCTTAGTTTGTCCTTCTGTTAGAAGTTGGTTTCTGTCTTCTCTTGGACTTGGTTTGCCCACCTGTTGCTGCCTCGGGCTGCTTAAGGCCTTCAGGTGAGTTTTTCATGAAGGGTCAGGGTCTGAACAAGTGAAATAAATTTGGTGGACCTTTGAAAATTTTCAGAAGCTTCTGTTTTTAAATATGCAGGCGTCATTAAGTTCACTTCAAGTTACTCAGTCATTCATGATTAAAAAACAAAAAAACCCCAGGCCAAATGAAACACAACTTATCTGATTCTGAAAGATGGTTTACACACACAGAAAAACTTGGAAATGTCAGTGCTAAAAAGAGGCAGCTAATCAGCCACCACAAAAAAACGACTTTAGGTATTTAGAGGCCTTGCCTCTTCCCCTCTGTGTTAGCCATTGATTTCAGCATTTTGGGAGCCTTACTATCATTTTCACCTCCTACCCCCACTCTAGGGATTGAACCTAGGGCCTTGTACATGTGTAGTCAGTATTCTACCACTGAGCTTCGTATCCAGGCTTTTCTGAGATAGGCTTTCCCTAAATTGCCCAGGCCCACCTCCTCTAGCCTCTTGTCCTCGTGCCTCTTCCAAGGTACTTTACCTGAGATCACAGGTGTGCGCCACAGCATTCTGCTCCTTGTTATTTTTAAATTGCCACTGATGATTGTAATAGTGGCCAGTGTTAGCATTTTGAGGCATACACAGAATAATAATTTCAGCTGTGGAATGGAAGTTAGCTGTTCCTTGGGTTGAACTCACTTTTAAATGAATGTTTATACATAGGTTCCATTATCCTGTAAGTAGAAGTGCATTATTTGTGGTGAACAGCTTCAGTTCTTTAAGTGGCCTCTCAACCTACACTTAGATTTTTTGACAGACACATGGTCGGTCTTTTTTAAGTGATCACAGATAGTTAAATTTGTTTCTTTTCCTACATGAAGTAGTTATTTACATAAACTAAAGGTATTATGGGATACAGTACAATATAGTGGAACCTTAGGGCCAATGATTGTTAATTGGCAGCTAGCATTCATTTAAAAAGGCCAAAACAAAACCATATTCCTTTTCAATAATTTGGAAAAGAAGCATATTACTTTGAACAGTTACTACTTCTGGGAAGATTAATGTAGTAAGTAATAGCATATAATTATGACAGATCAGCTTTATACCTGGTTGTTTCTGTCAGAGTGAATAAATGTAGAAAGTAGCCTGATTAATCACACATGAAAACAAGGTGAGATTGTAGCATGGGGTGAGATATAGTTTTGCTTATAGACTCTCCTATTTGGAGTCATATAAGTCATCTTTTTAGGAAAATCCGAAGATTTCCAGAAACCTTTGGTGTATCATTAAGTTCTGCTTAGGTGTTTGAGTCTTTTTTTTTTTTTTTTTTTTTTTGTAGTTCAGGCTTTGTAGCCTTTGTAGTTCAGGCTGACCCTGAACTCACTATGTAGCCCAGGCTGGCCTTGAACTCGGCAGCAATCTTCCTGTCTCAGCTTCCCTAGTGTTGGGATTACAGGCATGTGTGCCACCATGCCTGGCTCAATGTTTGAGTCTTGAAGTGGTTGGTTTTTGTTTAACATTTATTATGGGAGTAAGTGTTTTAGTTTTTCTGCTAAGCTGTAGATTTGGGAAACTTGCAGTACTTGAATGTTAAGGTTAGGCCCTAATTCAGTATTTTCCTTTTTTTTTGGTACCAGGGATCGAACTCAGGACCTTGTGCTTGCCAGGCAGGCAATGGAACCACTGAACTAAATCCCTGGCATTTGTATTTTCCTTTTTTTTTTAAAGCCCTAATTCAGTAATAACAAGAGTTGTAAGGGCTTGTTTGTCAAGAATATTTTTCTATTTGTGTATTGTAACTTACAAAACAAAAAATGGAAAGGAAAGTGGTCTCTTATACCTTTTGTTCCTAACAAGTTTTCTTATTTCTATTCTAATTTGTGCTCACATGCATGTGTAATTTTACATAGTTTTAACATTACAAGTTTTATTTTTGATTTTCTTTATCCAAAAAATGAAGTTAAAGGGGAAATCTGTTGTCCCAAGACCTTGAAGTTCTGTTTGTGGATGTCATTGGCTGTTCATGTTGTCTTTCAGGCTGTACAACTCGGCAGAGAATTGTGTGTGTGTGTGTCTGTGTGTGTCCGTGTGTGTCCGTGTCCATCCGTGTCCATCCGTGTCCATGTTCTATGCAGAACACCTGTTCAGCATTAACCAATCTAATCATTAAAAGCTGAAAGTTTTATGAGCATAATTGACATTACTGGTTGGATTACCAACACAATCCTTTTCAGGAATTTGACGTTTTATAACTTTAGGTGGTTTAAAAATATTTAATTGGCAAGTGAACATTTATTTAGTGTCTGCCAAGTCTTTAGCCTTGTATGATGGCTTGAGATCTTCAATCAAGTGGCTGCCCTTCTTTTAATATGTATAAGATTGACTATCAAAATAACTAAGTTATGTACAATGTGTTTGGAAAATATCTTTGCCTAGGGGAGTAAAACAGAAAATTACACTGGAAATTGAATGAGAGACAAATGAAATGGATTATTTCAGGTGTTAGGGAGCATTGGCAATACATTGATGTTAGCAGGTACTGCAGAGGTGTTTACTTTGCGTTTTGCAATTCTTGGTGCAGTGCAAGACTCAAAGATGTATGTAGTGTCAAATACAGTCAAAGCTTTGGTAAATCACAGACTAGTATCTCAGTGGAGGAATTGTGTTACAGCCATTAAAAATGATGTGGATCAAAACTAACAACAGGGAAGACTTTCTTTTTTTAAGAGGGAGAGGTTTGTTTTGACTTGTGAGGAAGACTTCTAGGTCAGTGGGAAAAGCAGAACCAAATTATGTGTAACTATGATTGAATCTAATAGAGCTAGAAAGAATCATGAAAAAAATGAAGTTGTTGTTAGGAGGGTTTTATTTGTTAAGAACCTGCTTAGTATTGCCTTTTATTATATTCAGTTTCTTTTTTTTTTTTTTTTTGGTACCAGGGATCGAACTTGGGTCCTTGTGCTTGCTCAGCAGGCAGCGAAATCACTGAGCTAAATCCCCGGCCCTTACTCTTGTGCTTTTGAGGCAGGCGCTGGAACCACTGAGCTAAATCCCTGGCCCTCTATTCACTTTCTTAAAGTGTGCTTTATGGTGCATGCTCATGAGGAAGTGGCTGTCGTGTGCAGAGATAAGATGGAAAGGTAAACAGTTGTAGCAGATTGCTGGTTATCAAGTGCCAGGCGAGTGACAGGGAAGTGGAGGAATTTAGAGGTATGAAGGGTCTCTAGAGGCCAGGTGAGTAGGGAAGACTGCTGAGGGAGCTTGTCCCGCACAGAAGGCTTCCAGGGAAGTGTGTGATTTGAATGGGTATGTGGGGAGCCTGGAGGAGCACGGGGCAGGAACGAACTCGGCAAGTTTAGGCAGCAGAGACCAGATTTACCTGGCTGGAGGGAGGATTCTGTAAGGTTGACTGGAGAAGGACAGATTGTGAAAGGCTGGAGGAATTGCAGGGATACTGGCTGGGCCAGAAGTATGGCTTCAGGTGGCTGGGGCATGCAGTTTGTTTCGCGTTTTAGAAATTTGTGTGGACACAAACATGAAAAATTGCCATCTCCCAAAGCAAGATTGAAAGTCCAGGTAGATGACTGCTTCATGCCAGAGCCGGGGTGGATTTAAAAAGCACATGAGAAAAATGAATTGTACGAATAAGGAGGCCTGACAAAATCAAGTAAACAGCCCTGAATAGAAAGACAGGTAAAACTGAGCAAGTGGGAGGAGGCCTGGGGCCTGCCAGTCCTCAAGGAAATCCGACTGTCCTGTCCTTAGGCAGTGAGGGAGCAGGAAAGGATCCGCTGGTTCTTCAGCATTTTCAGAGATCACTGAGATATGTGGAGCTAAGGATGACCCGGGATGGAAATTTTTGTGTTTGCTAAAACAGAAGATACTTGTTTTACTAGCGTCTACTTCATATGCTGCTGGCGAATGAGGCACACATGCATTGCGACATTGTT